AAAAAAAAAAAAAAAAAAAAAGAAAATGATGATTTTTCTAACTCCAGCCTTCTCTTTGCCTTTAACAGCAGAGCCCTCAGTGTTCTACTGTAAGCAAGAGCCCTTGCTGCTACTTCACTTATTTAGTTACCTCTTTATTATCAGTATGAACTCATGAATTCCTTATTTTATTTAATTAATTTAATTTAATTTAATTAATTAATTGATTAAATTAAATTAAATTTATTTTATTTTATTTTTTGAGACAGAGTCTCACTATGTCACCCTGGGTAGAGTGTCGCAGCATCACAGCTCACAGCAACCTCAACCTCTTGGGCTTAAGCATCTCTCTTGCCTCAGCTTTCCAAGTAGCTAGGAGTATAGGTGCCCGCCACAATGCCCAGCAATTTTTGTTTGTAGTTGTCATTGTTGTTTAGCTGGCCCAGGCCGGGTTCAAACCCACCACCCTTGGTATATGTGGCTGGCACCGTAACCACTGTGCTATGGGCACCAAGCCTAAATTCCCCATTTTAATGGTTTTAATTCATGTTGGCATATAATTACTTTGGTGCTCAAACTTGTCTCCAATGTGGCCACTAGGACCCTTTCTATCTGGCCCGTGTCCCGTGACATTGGCAGTTCCTTTCAGTGTATTATACTTCCGTAATTCTCTTTGATTCTCAAACTTATTTTCTTAGAATCTAGTCCATGCAATGCAAATGCTAGGAGGGCAGTGAAGGTCATTCTAATGTATCCCTTTAGTTCCACTGTTGAGAAGGGGAAGTGGCTTGCTAAGGCCACACAATGGGTTGTCAGAAGAGTTGGGTCTGAACTCAGAATTAGGCTATGGCTGAGTAACAATAAATAATGACATCTGCCTGCCAGGTTTTTGGCCAGGGCTGGGTTTGAACCCACCACTGCCGGTATATGGGGCCAGCGCCCTACTCCTTTGAGCCACAGACACTGCCCAGCCTGCTAGGTTTTTTTTTTGTTTGTTTTTGTTTTTGGCTGGGGCCGGGTTTGAACCTGCCACCTCTGGTATATGGGGCCGGCCCCCTATTCCTTGAGCCACAGGCACCGCCCCTGCCTGCCAGTTCTGACCACCTAGTATGGGTAGACCTTTTGCTAGATGCTTTTAATCCCTACAACATCTGTAAGGTAAGCATTACAGAAGAAGGGGGCTGGGCTCAAGTATTTTAAGTAACTTTCCCAGAGTCATCCATCCAGAAGATGAAGAAACTAGGCTCCAAAGTCAAGTCTCAGTGCTACTGGGAAGTGTATTTGCTGAAGGCGGTGGTGAGTGTGATGTGCTCAGCTACTGTTGGCTTGCTTGGCCTGTCAAGGCACTGCTTTGTCATACGAGCATTGGTCCTAGCAAAAGAATAGGGCTGTGATGGCAAGGGCAAGATCTAGGGCTCTAGATCTTAGATTCTGGGAGCAACCCAGGCCTGTCCCCAAATTCCAATGCCTAATTGCCCATCCCTAGCCTGGGCCTGCAGAACCACCAGGGGGAAGAGGGTGGCAGTAGAGAAGGCATCTCCTGAGGGGAGTTCTTGGGAATCTCTTGATGCTACAGCCCCGTGGTTTAAATGGCCTAAGGTGAAGGGTCACCTCAGATGTCTCTCAGTCCAGCCCCTTCAAAGGCCCTTATGACAAGGAATGGCAGTTTGGCCAGAAGAGGAGCCCTTCTTACTGCGCCCAGCCCCAGGGCTCAGACATGGAGATGGGGGATGAAGCTAGGATGGTGGGGCAGGGAGCGGAACTCAGGGGTGCCAGCAGCGGGCCTTAGCAGGTGGCCTCTCTCCATAGGCTTCCAGGACGTGCACGTGATGGTGTTTGTGGGCTTCGGCTTCCTCATGACCTTCCTGCATCGCTATGGCTTCAGCGCCGTGGGCTTCAACTTCTTGCTGGCGGCCTTTGGCATCCAGTGGGCACTGCTCATGCAGGGCTGGTTCCACCACGTGCAAGACAGACACATTATCATAGGCATCGAGAAGTGAGCATGGGGTGGGCCCAGGGGTTGGGGGCCAGGGGACTGGGCAATGTAGGGCTGGGGGAAGGGGGCCAGCCAAGCCTGGGGAGGGGGCGTGCCCAGTAGTGGCCTTGAGCTGTAAGATCTGTCCCTCCAGGCAGACTGGGCCTGTGATAGGCATGTATCCGTGCATGCCCAAGTGTACACACACACACATATACGCACCTGTGTGCATGCAGAGACTACCTGGACTCAAGGCTAGACTTTTCTCTGGAAACTGGGCCCCAGTCACCCACCCTGGCTCATCAAAATTACCGATCCCTGTGCCTTGAGAGTCCCAGATACAAAAGCCAGAGTGTCTGAACCAGGCTTAGAAGGTCGCTTGTGGCAGGAACACTGAACAGGGAGTTCAGGAAACACAGGCACTGGAAAGAGCTGTGGACAGGTGTGGCTGTGGAGCTTTAAGGCTGAAGCCCCTTCCCTGCCTCTGCCTCCAGGAGTGGGGCACCCTACCCTCATCTTTCCTCACTTCCATCTGAGGGGCTTTTTTCTGGGATCACCTCTTGGTTTGGTAAGTACCACCAGACCTTTCCTATCAGGTCCCTTAGTCCCTCCCTCTGCTCTGGGGTTACCTCCTCCACGCCTCAATGCCGCTCCCTGCCCCACAGCACCACCAACTGGTTATAAAGTAAATTCAGCAGGAGCCAACTTGCCAAAAATCAGTGGGCAAAGCAATCAACTCACTGAACAATGTCAAACTCTTCGGCACTTTGTGAGACCCATAGCAATTTTTGTTTTTTTGAGACAGAGTCTCACTTTATCACCCTTGGTAGAGTGCCGTGGTGTCGCAGCTCACAATAACCTCCAACTCCTGGGTTTAGGTGATTCTCTTGCCTCAGCCTCCTGAGTAGCTGGTACTACAGGTGCCCGGCACAATGCCCGGCTATTTTTTTGTTGCAGTTTGGCTGGGGCCGGGTTCAAACCTACCACCCTCGGTATATGGGGTCGGCACCCTACCCACTGAGCCACAGGTGCCGCCCAGCTATAGCAATTTGTGTTGCACGAGATTGACTAAAGAGGCTTTGGGAGATTTTTTCCTAGTTTTATTCAAGTTTTAGTTTGTGGGACGTTCTTCTTCAAGTCTAGTTTAGATGGTCTTCTATTTCTGCAGACATATGACAAGTTTGGATAAATAAAATGTTCTTTAAATTTGAGAAAGTCATCATTAGTGCATAAAAATGAACACTCATTAGCTTGCTGAATAAGTCCACAGAAAGGGCTTGGAAGTCCATATTTAAAGAGGAAATCTCTGCTGTCACATATAGGGCACCAACCAGGTGTCTGGAATTTAAAACATTTGCCAAGTATTTTCAAAAGTGTAATTTAATCAAATCAAGGAATCCATGACTTAAAAGTAACAGGAAAGATAGTTGACTAGATCCATGTTAGACCAGTGGTTCTCAACCTTCCTAATGCCACAGCCCTTTAATACAATTTTCTGTGGGTCGTGACCCACAGGTTGAGAACTGCTGTGTTAGAACCAATAAATTGTTCTTTTTGTATATAAAGTTCTTTTTTTTTTTTTTTTTGACAGAGTCTCACTATGTCTTCCTGGGTAGAGTGCTGTGGCATCATAGCTCACAGCAACCTCCAACTCCTGGGCTTAAGCGATTCTCCTGCCTCAGCCTCCCAACTAGCTGGGACTACAGGTGCCTGCCACAATGCCTGGCTGTTTTTTGTTGCAGTTGTCATTGTTGGTTAGCTGGCCTGGCTGGGTTCCAACTGCTGGCCTTGGTGTATGTGGCTGGCACTCTACCCACTGAGCTATGAGCGCCGCCTTGTATATAAAGTTCTAGACGTTCTGAGTCCAAAATATGCAAGAAACTCAAATTCCCAAAGCCATAGACCAAAAGTATAAAAATACCTCTAATATATGTCATTCATCACCAAAGCAAAATAGCTATGGCTAAATGAAAAAAGTATACAATTTTTAAAAAATCTCCAAAGGGTGCAAGTTGGTCACTTGAAAGTTTGAGTTTTGGCAAACTGGCTTTTGAGGAATTGATTTTCAGCAACTGACCTGGAGCCAGTTTTCTGGTGCTCAGGGTTGGTATGAGGATGTTGTCCCCAGACCTGACTTTGTCGACCCAGAGAGGTGGACGTGCCTCCCAGCTTCTGTTCTATCCCTGCTGAAGAGTCCTCCAGATCCCTCCAGTTACTTTATTATTATTTTTTTCTGAGACTCTCACTTTGTTTTTGTTTTTGTTTGAGAATCTCACTTGTTGCCCTCAGTATAGGACTGTAGCATCACAGCTCACAGTAACCTCAAACTCATGGGGTCAAAAGATCTTCTTGTCTCAGCCTCCCAAGTAGCTGGGGCTGTAGGTTCCCAGCCACAATGCTCAACTATTTTTAGAGACGGGGTGGTCAGGGTGGTCTCAAACTCTTGAGCTCAGGCGATCCACCTGCCTAGGTCTCCCAGAGTGCTAGGATTGTAGGCATGAGCCATCACATCCCACTCTCCTGTTACTTTAGGGAACTATCCCTCCATAGTTCCTACCCAAGCCTCCTTGATGATGCCTCCAAGATGTGGCATCAAGATCTCCATCTCCGAGGTGCTGGTGGCACACAGTGTGAACTTTTCAGTTCTCTCTCTTTCTCCCTCTTAATGGTTACTTCCAAAAAGATGGGTCTTCTGGCTGCAGTTACGGGACTTTGGACAAATAAATCAGCCTCTCTAAGTCTCTGTGTTTCATATATATGATGTGGCTAATGTTTGTACCTTTCTGCACAGTTCAGGTATTATGCTACCTACCAGAGGGACATTCAGTACTTAGCAGATATTCCAGTGCCTAGCCCTTAGTAACCACCATCATTCATTCAGCCAGATCCTGACCTGGGCCCTGGGGACAGAGCAGTGAGCAAGACAGTGTGGAGTAGACATTCCAGTGAGCATTCTGTCTTGGGAGGGGCCGTGCCCCTATTCCACAAACTGGCCTCCAAATAGCTTACTTGTTACTCTTCACCCCACGTCTGTGTTTCACACAATCAACCCCCTGAGCATGGGGGGTCTCCTATAGGTGTGACCGCCTTGAGGAAGTAGCCCCTTTGTATCCTTACACCAACCCCATTAACAACTGTCATGGCAGAGAGGGTCTGCCTTGGAATCCAGAAGACGGCTTTGCTATGGGCAGGGAACATGAAGGCCTGGGTCAGGCAGAATGGACATGTGGATGGAACCAGGGTCTACTTTGGCCACACAGCATCTACCTAGCCCTTCGCTGGGCTGGCTGGGCTTTCAGGGTCCAGGCTTGGGGAGGGCCTATGTGCCTACCCCTTTGCCTGCATTTTCTCTGTTGACCTTCTGGCTCCTTCCTTCCAACCAGTCCCACCTAAGCTCCCTACTTCCTACAGGAAGGCTTCTCCCTCTTCCCTGGAAATAGATCCTCTCCCAAAGGTCAGGTAAAAGGGAGGTTCCAGCAGCACATACCCAGGCAGAGGCCTGGTACCCAGCAGGAGAGGTATTTGCAGAGAGAGAATGAGAGAGAGAAGGGTCTGAATGTAGAGACCATGTGTGGTTGGAGAAGTCAGGAAGGCTTCTTGAAAGAGGTGGTAGTAAGAGGAGGTTCTGGAAAGGCAGGTGGAAGATAGAGGGCAGGCAAATGTGGGGAATATTCAACAGCAGCATCCAGACCACACGGGTGCCATGAACACCAGCTGTCTGCAAGGAGGTGGGGCTGCAGTGGAAGAGGAGAGGGGCCAGCAGAGTGTGCCCCCACTCTGCTGGCCACTTCACACAAATTATTTCTTAATTTTAGTGTAGCCCTTAATGCTATGTGGCCATCATTACAGATGATGAAACCAAGGCTCAGAAAGGTTAAGCCATAAGCCCAAATCCATAGATGATCAAAGTTCAGCCAAAGTCCAGATCCAGATCCAGGGCTCAGAATGGCACTTCTTGCTGTTACCCCAGCCCCTCCCTGGCCTGTCTCCCCACAGCCTCATCAATGCTGACTTTTGTGTGGCTTCTGTCTGCGTGGCCTTTGGGGCAGTTCTGGGCAAAGTCAGCCCTGTCCAAGTGCTCATCATGACATTCTTCCAAGTGATCCTCTTCTCAGTGAATGAGTTCATTCTCCTCAACCTGCTGGAGGTGAGCAGGGCTCAGAATAGGGATGGGCGTGGAGGGGACACTTGGGGGGAACAGCAGGAGGGTAAAGGTGGAGAGAGCTGGAGAGTCCTGTCAGCCTGGCAAGTCATTGAACCTCCTGAACCTCAGTTTTCTCATGTCTAAAGTGGGAGTAATGACATCTACCCAGCCAGGTAGCAATAGTTCACCTAGTGCTTCAGCCCAGTGCCTGGGCAGAGCAGGGGTTCCTTGAAAATTGGTTTTTTCCTGTCCTTTTTTTTCCCCACACATCAGATGGGAGGAGTGGGGTGTTCCTACACATAGTCTTGCACACATCACACATCTCTAGATTGCTGTGCTAAGAAAAGGATCCAGAGTATTGAGGGGGCAAATCTGTAAGGACTGATTCCAGAGGAATGGCCAAGGTGGCATGTATGGCTGCACAGGTTGTGTACTGTACAACCGCAGAGGTGCCATTCACATAGCCTATGGCAGGAATGCTGTCACATGGGCTTGGTCAATACAATGACCCAGGGAAGGGGTACCTTAGACCTCTAATTATCTCAGAAGCCTCCTTGATGCCTTTGGGCAGCAGGGGCAGAGAAAGGGCCATTCAGGGAGCCCACACAGTTCTTTGCCCCTTCTTCTTCTCTATTTGGACTCTGCCTGGAAACCCCCTTTCTAGGGGTGGTAAGCCATCCTAAATGCAGACTTTCATTTTGTCATTTATTTTTAGCTACCAGACTAGTCCAAGCCACCTTATCTCTTCCTCCTGACTCATTTCCCTGGCTTCACTCTTGCCTCACTCACCCTCAGGCCACTTGCCACTCGCAGCCAAAGTGGCCTATACACAATGCATGTCAGCCCATCCCCCTGATGAAAACCTACCAGTGGTATTTAAATTTCACTCCAAATAAACTCTAAACTGTCCTAAGGCCTTACACGTTCTGGTCCCTCCCTTTCTCTGCAAGCTTATCTACTTTCTCCCCATCTTTCTGTGCTTTGGCCATAGGTTGCTCTCTGTCCTCAGACACACCAAGTGGCATTTCTTTCTTTTTTTTTTTTTTTTTTTGAGACCGAGTCTCAAGCTGTCACCCTAGGTAGAGTTCTGTGGCATCATAGCTCACAGCAACCTCCAAGCAATTCTCTTGCCTCAGTTTTTCTATTTTTAGTAGAGATAGAGGTCTCACTTTTTGCTCAGGCTGGTTTCCAACCCATGAGCTCAAGCAATTCACCTGCCTCATCCTCCCAGAGTACTAGGAATACAGGTGTGAGCCACTGTGCCTGGCTGGCCTTTGCATTTGATGTCCCCTTTGCTTGGGTGGTCATCTGCAGTCCTTTTCATTGTTGAGGTCTTAGCACACACATAACTCCGTAGGAGGCCTGCCCGATCCCCACCTCCACCCCTTGTAGTCATTCTCTCTTACAGTGCCTTATCCTTATCTGATAAGAGCTGGTCCTCAACACATTTGAGTGAATTTCAGAGTCTGAATGCATGTCAGGGATCACTCTGGGCTCTGGGACAGAGAGACGAGCAGTGTAAAAAGCTCAGAATCTAATGTGGGACCAGGAAGTAAATAGGCAGTAACCATGCATTGTGATATGGGGTAAGCCGAGGGCTAGGTGGCTTAGAGGAGGGTGCCTAAACCAGCCTGGCAGGCCAGGGAGGCTTCCTGGGGGAAGAGAAGTCAAAGCTGGAAGTCAAGTGGGAGCTCACTATTCAAAGGAGCCAGCAAGGGCGTTCAGGGCAGAGGGAGCTAGAAACAAACCCACAGTGAGGGGTCTCTGGTGACTCAATCTCGCTGGATAGAGGCTAGTGCTGAGAGAAGAGTTCAGAGGGGTAATGAGCAGGGACAGGACTCTTGAGGACTATGTTGAGGAGTCTTGACTGCATCATGAGGGCAGTGGGGAGCTAAGCAGGGAGGCGACAAGAGCAGACATGTGTAAAAGAAATGTCACTTTGGCTGCAACCTTGCAAAGAATATCTGGGAAGCAGGAAGCCTAGGTAAGAGGCTTCTAGCCATGTTGGTGAGAAATCATGGGACTTGGACTGGCTTAGTACAGGGAGAAGAAAGTGTAAAATTCAAGGCCAGGCGTGGTGGCTCACACCTGTAATCCTAACACTCTGGCAGGCCAAGCCAGGTGGATGGCCTGAGCTCATAGCTTCAATACCAGCCTGAGCCAGAGGGAGACCTCGTCCCTAAAAAATAGCCAAGTGTTATGGTGGGCACCTGTAGTCCCAGCTACTTGGGAGACTGAGGCAAGAGAATTGCTTGAGCCCAAGAGTTTGAGGTTGCTGTGAGCTGTGACGCCACAGCACTCTACCAAGGGTGACAAAGTGAGACTTTGTCTTAAAAAAAAAAAAAAAAGGGAAAGTGGAGAATTCAAGAGAAATAGAGGCACTGCATAACAGCCCTTGGGGACTGAGCAGGGTGAGGACAAGGAGAGAAAGGCGCTAGGCTTGCAGAGGGGAAGGCTGTGGGGCCGTGAAGTTCTGAAATGGCTGAGAGGATAGAATCTTGAGGGTGAGTAAACAGGCAGGAAAAGCTCCTTTGATCCTCTAAAACCCTCCCTAACCTGCTACAGAAATTCTCTTAGTGCCTACCAGTCTTTCAGCCTCTTTTTGAGACAAGTTTAAACACAATAATTATCACTGACATGAAAGGAGCACTTGCTATTTGCTGGGCCCTGACCTAAATGCTTTACACAGGTAAACGCTGAATCTTTATCGCTGACATAGGCACAATTATTTCCTCCATTTTACAGATGAGAAAGCTGAGGCTCTGAGAGGTTACAGGGCTCACCCAAGGCCACACAGCTAGTAGAGGCACTAACTAGGCTGAGAGTCAGGAAACCCAGCCCTATGGGTGGCACCTATGGCTCAAGGAGAAGGGCACCAGCTCCATATACCGGAGGTGGCGGGTTCAAACCTGGCCCCAGCCAAAAATTGCAACAACAACAACAACAAAGGAAACCCAGCCCTATAAACAACTAGCAGTATGACCTGGAATCACCAGGGTTTCTCCCTCTGAAATAAAAGAGTTAGTCTTTGATTCTGATCTTCTGAGATTGATTCTGATGGGGGAGGAAGAGGAGGCTGAAAGTGGAGAGGTGATAGGGGGTGGGAGGAAGGGAACTTTATAAGATGTGTCTGCTTTGATCCACGGACCTCCCTAATAAGTCTCTGTGATCTCTCCCACTTTGTGAATGAGGAACTTGAGACCTAAGGGGGTCAAATGAGAGGTGCAGAGGACAGATGGGGAGAAGGCCAACTCCAAGTGCTCTGACTTCAGGGGGCCAGGGAGGGAAGGATGGGTCTAGGGTAGGTGGTGGGAGGTTGTCTGTGTGATTGGAGGCAAGAGTGTGACAGGATGCAGAGATAGGTGAGTAATGGCAGTTTTGGTGGGCTGTTGAGCCAGGAGTGATTGTATAAAATGAAATGTAGAGAGGGGAGATCCAGAGGGAGGGGGAGAAGCCAGTGGGTGACACACTAGACAGACATTGCCCTGAGTTCTAATTCTGCCTCCCTATTTCCAGCTGTGAGTTCCTCTCCAAGCTTGGGTTTTTCCATGGGCAGCAGTTCCATCTGTTGGGTTAGGACGTCCTGGAATTTTGCTGACAGGCTGGGTTCAGGGATCCCCTCCTCCCCATTACTAGCTGACTAGTCTACAGGGTCCCCTGAGCTCCAACCTGCACCCTGAAGAGTTAGAGACAGCTAGAACTCTGTGTGTGTGTAGGGGTGAGGAGTGCTGTGAGGAGGGAAGGAGAGAAGGTGCCATATCCTGACAGGTCCCTTGTTCCCCAGGTGAAGGATGCTGGGGGTTCCATGACCATCCACACATTTGGTGCCTACTTTGGGCTCACAGTGACCCGGATCCTCTACCGGCCCAACCTAGATCAGAGCAAGAATAGAGAGAGTTCTGTGTACCACTCGGATCTCTTTGCCATGATTGGTGAGAGCTGCCATGATGACTGAGGGCCACCAGGATTGGTGAAAGTGGCCATATGGGTGAGGGCCACTATGGGTGAGGACCTCCATGATGAGTGAGGACCTCCACAATGGGTGAGGGCCTCCACAACGGGTAAGGGTCTCCATAACGAGTTCAGGCCACCATCTGATCATTATCAGAGGATCACATCTGATCCCCACATGGTCTGGTGGAAGGCTTCCAGTTCCCTTTGGGGAAAGGGCAGAAGGAGGTTGCCTATAGATACTTCAGGATCCCAGATGTCTCTAAAGAAGTTGGTCACTTGTCCTGCGTTTTCCTAGAATGCCCCAAGGCAGACATAGTGGCAACCAGGAACTGGTGACTCCATCCCTGGGCTAGGGCAAGGTGTGCATTCCTATTTCCTCTGTCCATTTATTCCCGAGAACACATACTGACCATACTCATTCTGGTCTCCTGAAGCTCATCCCTGACCTCCAGGAGCTGCTCATGGTACAGTGGAAGCAACAGCAATGACACATAGAGAATCTCCCTATGAAGGAGGAAATACTCTCCTACTAGTGCTGGGGGAGCAGGGTGGGGCACTTAGCTCAGTAATGGGGATCAGGGTGGACTTTAGGAGCAGAATGGAGGGCTAAGCAGGAGGGAGGCAAGTAAGGCAGGGAGGGCCTTCCAGAAAGAGCCTACGGATGAGTGTAGCTGCAGAAGTAGAAACAGCTGGGGTGTGGGGGTCAACAGACATCTCTGGGTTCTTCTGTGCTCCATATAATGCCTTTTCTCCTGGGGCCCCGGCCCTGTCTAATCTGACCCAGGCACCCTCTTCCTGTGGATGTACTGGCCCAGCTTCAATTCTGCCGTATCCTCCCATGGGGATAGCCAGCACCGAGCCGCCATCAACACCTACTGTTCCTTAGCAGCCTGTGTGCTCACCTCGGTGGCAATATCCAGCGCCCTGAACAAGAAGGGCAAGCTGGACATGGTAAGCAGTGGGGGCCCTGGGGGGATGTGTGGCTTTGCCTGGGCCTGGCAGCTGCTAATCACCATGTACTGCCAATAGCTCTGGGAAGCAGACAGCAATAGGGATCATCGCAACCTTTTTTTTTTATTTTTTGAGACAGAGTCTTACTCTGTCACCCAGGCTGGAGTGCCTTGGTGTCATAGCTCATAGCAACCTCAAACTCTTGAGCTCGAGCAATCTTCTTGCCTCAGCCTTCTGAGTAGCTGGGACTACAGGTGTGCACCACTATACCTGGCTAGTTTTTCCATTTTTAATAGAGATAGCAGTCTTACTCTTGCTCAGGCTGGCCTTGAACTCTGAGCTCAAGCAATCCACCCACCTTGGCCTCCTAGAGTGCTAGGATTACAAGCATGAGCCACCATGTCCAATATCATACCCATTTTGCAGATGAAGAAACTGAGGCTCAGGGAGAAATGATTCATCCTGAGCACATAGCCCATTTTCTTTTCTTTTTTTTTTCTCCTGCCACCCTGGGTAGAGTGCCATGGCGTCATAACTCATAGCAACCTCAAACTCTTGGGCTTGAGCAGTCCTCTTGCTTCAGCCTCCTGAGTAGCTGGGACTACAGGTGCCTGACACAACACCCGGCTAGTTGTTTTGGGTTTTTTTTTTTTTTTTCTATTTTTAGTAGAAACAGGTCTCACTCTTGCTCAGACTGGTCTCAAGTTCTTGAGCTCAAGCGATCCACTCGCCTTGGCCTCCCAGAGGGTTAGGATTACAGGCATGAGGCACTGAACCCAGCCCAGTTTTCAGCAGAACCCAGAACCAGGTTCTTAGAGGTTCAGCTTTGTGAACTGTTCTAGGTGAACTCCTCCTCCTTGTCCTGCCCATGCCTAGGGTACTGACGGCTGTTCTGGGATGAGCTGTTCTCTATCAGGCCTGCCCAGCAGGGCTGCCCAGGCACTTCTCCTATGCCAGGCTCTGAGCCTCCAAATGCCAACCCTCAAGCTTCCTCCCCAACTCCCCTTTGCACACTCAGAGTGGCAGTCTCTTTAATGCTTTGTCCACTCCCCTGGGGAAGTTTGGGGGGATGGTGTTACCCAGTATCCTTCATATCATAGCATTGGGACAACTCCATAGATGTTGGCAGATTTTTCTATCATAAGAAAAGTAAAGGCACTAATTCTCCATCTCATAGTCTGACACAAGCTTCTTAACATGGGGAGATGTGTGCTGAGACACTGTCAGGAATACTTGTTAAGGGGGACATTCTCGCCCTGCAGAGAGGTGGGGTCTCAGGCATTGTGGGGAAGAGAATCAAACATTGACAAGGGCATGCCTGTGTGCGTCCCAACCCACGTGCTGGGAGGGGCAGGGAACAGGGTCAAGGACAGGGACTTTGGATCAAGACACCTTTTTGCCTCTTGCTAGCTCTATGGTCTTCAGCAAGTCATTTAACCTCTCTGCAACTCAGTTTCCTCATCTGCAAATGTCGAAAGATAACTGTCCTCACCTGAGGGCTTATGGAGACGGAATGAAGTAATCCTCACCGCCAGCAGCACGGTACCTGTGGCAGGTTAGCACTCAGAGAGCATTAGCTGGTGCGTGTGTATGTCTAGGCCCCACAGGCACCTTGTGTGGACATGCAGGCAAACTGAGAACATTCAGATGCATGAGTCTAGGCACACAGGTGGATGTGGCACATGTAGAGTGAATACAGGGCTCACCGGCATGTACGCTGGCACACTGCTGTGTGCACATGGAAAGTGCCCAGACCTGCTGGGTGGGGTGGGTGGTGCATACAGAGAACACAGGGGTGGCTGAAGCAAGCCTGGGCTGAGGCTGGAGCCCTCTGCAGGCTCCTGGCTCCCAGGGCCCAGGTGTTACTCACACAACAAGCCAGCTGGGGTTCTTGGGAGAGGACTGAGTTCCTGCCCACTCTGCCGCCCTTCCCAGGTGCACATCCAGAACGCCACGCTGGCGGGAGGGGTGGGCGTGGGCACAGCTGCTGAAATGATGCTCATGCCCTATGGCGCTCTCATCGTGGGCTTCTTCTGTGGCATCTTCTCCACCCTGGGTTTTGTATACTTAACGGTGAGGACTCGGGCAAAGGGCTTGGGTCTGGAGGATGTTTGGGTCTTTGTGTACCTGAATGTAGGGGGGGTCCTAGGAAAGGTGCTCGTGGCTGGAGCATCCTGGGTCTCTGTGTGTTGAGGGTCCCACACCCCTGCTGCAACTTCCAGCCTAAGCAGACCTACCTCCCCTCCCCAGCCCTTCCTGGAATCCCGGCTGCGGATCCAGGACACGTGCGGCATCCACAACCTGCATGGCATCCCTGGCATCATAGGCAGTGTTGTGGGTGCCGTGACTGCAGCCTATGCCAGCTCTGAACAGTATGGACAAGAAGGGTAAATGTAGATGGGGCAGGGCGGTGGGGGACTCCCTCCTGCCTCCTCCATCCCTCTTGCCTGCTATCCCTCTGAGGAACAACATTGTGACTTCCTCCCCTTATCCCACTCTGGACTAATTGTTTCATAGGCTTCTCTCCCTCCACAAAAGTCTTAGAGACCACATAATATGTCCCATACCCTCTCATGTTGATGTGGAGGCTGAGGCCCAAGGTTCAGGGAGCCTTGGTGTCTACTTGCATTTGTGGGGTGGCAGCAAGTGGTTCCCTGGCCTCTCTTTGAGGCCCTGACCTGTCCTCTGTCTCTACCCCAGGCTTGTCCATTACTTTGGTTTTCAAGGTTTCAAGGAGAGCTGGACCACAAAAACACAGGGCAAGTTCCAGGTTTTTGGCCTTTTGGTGAGCCTGGCCATGGCCCTGATGGGCGGCATCATTGTGGGTGAGTGAGAGTGGCTGGGCCAGAAAAGGGAGAGCAGCTGTGGGGTTCTCTGGATGGGGGACCGAAGGGTGTATGCTAGAGGACAGCCTGGAGCTCCCAGGAATCCTGGAGTCCCTTATGTCCGCACTTCTGCAGTGGGACTAGGGAGACTTGGGCCTCAGTCCAAAGGATTTTCCCAGCTGGGGGACAGAGCCAGGGCAGGGGGAGAGAAAGTATTCCCCAACCTCCTGTGATCTCTCGCTTTATTTAGGGTTAATTTTGAGATTGCCATTCTGGGGACAACCTGCTGATGAGAACTGCTTTGAGGATGCAGTCTACTGGGAGGTGAGTTCTGAGCACTTGTGTCCCTGCACAAAGGGCAGCTGTCTCCCCCGACCCCAACCACTGCATCAGCTGGGCTGGGCCAGGGAGCAAGAAGTCGAGTTGGGGACAGAGCCAGTGTCATCCTGCTCCTTCATCAGGGAGCCTGTATCTTCTGTGGGTTGAAGATTCTTTCCTCCCCTTCCCTCCAGGGCTTTTTTGGGGGGTGGTGGTATATACCTCTCTTTTTACACACCCTAGGGTATGACAGAAACAACCTACAGGTCCCTAAGGCCTCAGCTTTTTTCTAAAGCAGTGACTGGTTTGGTCCCCAGTGGCATCAGTATCACCCAGGGACTGGTTAGAAATGCAGATTCTCAGGTCCCACCCCAGACCTCCTCAATCTAAATCTAGGCAGGGGGGCCCAGCACTCTGTTTTAACAAGCCTGAGGCTGATTCTAATGAAAAACACCCCTAAGAACCACTACATTTGACCCAGTGGTTTTCATCCCTTAGCTGCATATAGAAATCACCTGGGGAGCTTAAAAGCAATCCAAAACCCAGGCCTCAGCCTGCAGAGACTAGGATTTAATTGGTCCAGGGTAGGGCCTACCCATTAGAAATGTTTAAAAACTCAGGGGATTGTAATATCCAGCCTGGGTTAGGAATCACAGGTTCAACTAGTTTCCATAAGAACCATCTGGAGACCTTGTAAAAATGTGGCTTCCGGGCACCAGGCAAGAGATTCTAATTTAGTATGGCCCAGGACTCTGCAAGAGACAAGCTCCCAGATATTCAATTTTTTTTTTTTTTTTTTTTTGACAGAGTCTCCTTGTCTCTAGGGCTAGAGTGGTATGGCTTCAGTTTAGCTCACAGCAACCTCAAACTTACGGGCTCAAGCGATCCTCCTGTCTCAGTCTCCTGAGTAACTGGGACGACATGTAGCACCACCACACCTGGCTAGTTTTTCTATTTTTAATAGAGATGGGGTCTCGAGCTTGCTCAGGCTGGTCTTGAACCTGAGGTCAAATGATCCTCCCACCTCGGCCTCCCAGAGTGCTAGGATTACAGGCATGAGCCACCGTGCCTGGCCTCCCAGATGATTCTGATATGGAGACTGTGTTTTGTGACATTCTACCACTTTCAGCATCTAGAGGAGTGACAGTATAAAAACCCAATTTGAGAAACATTGTTCTAGTAGCCCAATGTGGTAAAGTGTTGGAGAACTCTCTCTTTACAAACATGCCACAATTTAGGCTTTCAGTGACTTCGAGCAGGCCTCTCCCCAGTGAGTCATTACTGGAGATGCTCACCTGTGTTGCATGGTGAGGATGACAGGGCATCTCTCATGACAAGGGTGAGGCTCAGCCTGTGTCTGTGGTCCTTGGAATGAGGGACCAGCTTTGTCTTTCACTTAGCTCTGTATTTTTAAAACAATCCCAGAAGTTTTCAGGGTAATTTTACTAATACCCACTACAAACCAATTTCAGGTACCTAACTAATAAGTCTTTCAAATTAACTTTTTCTAAGATTTGTTTTCTTAATACAAATATGTCTAGAAGCTCATTAAAGAAAATCTGGGACTAGAAAATCTAGAAATAGGCTCAGCACCCTATTAGCTTAGCATTTAGGGTGCTAGCCACATACACCGAGGCAAGCGGGTTTGAACTCGACCCTGGCCTGCTAAAACAATGACAACTGCAACAAAAAAATAGCCAGGCATTGTGGCAGGCACCTGTAGTCCCAGCTACTTGGGAGGCTGAAGCAAATGAATCGCTTAAGCCCAGGAATTTGAGGTTGCTATGAGCTGTGACGCCACAGCACGGAATTCTACCAAGGGTGACAAAGACTCTCTCAAAAAAAAAAAAAAAAAATCTGGAAATAGAGGAAAAGTAGAAATTCCATCACCCTAATTCAAGCACTGTTAATATTTTTAGTGTATTTCCTTTCTGTCTTTTTTTCTCTACATAGATTTTTTTGTTACACCATTGTAAGTGTATTTACACCCAATTTAGTATCCCACTCTTTTGTTTTACCTCTCTATCATACCTTCTGAATAAACTTTCTTTTTTCCCAGCAAAATTATTTTCATTCTATAGTTAAAGTCAGAACTTAAACCATTTTAGGCAGCACAATTAGAAACTACACAGATTTAATACTAATGAAATAAATCAAAAATGTTATCAGTTCCCACATGTAGGTGTCCCCTCTTGGTTCTGTTTTGATCTTTATAATTTATTCCAAGTTCACACCTCTCATTTACATACCTTGAGCAGTACACTCATGTGTCAGCATCCCTGGGGTGGGGGTGGGGGATTGGTTCCAGAAACCCATGCTGGGATGCTCAAGTTCCTGATATAAAATGGAGTAGAATTTGCAGGTAACCTACACACATCCTCCTATGTACTTTAAAATCATCTCTAGATTACTTATGACATCTAATATAGTGTAAGTGCTGTTTTTTATTTGTATTGTTTCATTATTTTTTGCTTTTTCTGAATAGTTTTGACCCATGGTTCACCGAAATTGTGGATAATCTGTGGGCTGACTGTACTTGTTTGGGAGTAATAAAATTCCTTGCCAATAGAAGTGAACACCATGAGGTGGTCCCTGAGGCTCCTTGTGGGTTTACTTGGGAAGTGAGGTGGCTTTTCAGAAGGCAAGGATGAGACAGATGAGGCCCAGGCAGAGCTGTGCCACCACCTACACTCCACCTCCCGATCTACTTCTGGCCTCCCTTTCACTTACCTCTTCCCCACTTTTTTTTTTTTATTAAACCATAGCTGTGTACATTGATAGTGTCATGGGGTACAGAGTGCTATTTTTATATACAATTTGAAATATTCTCATCAAACTGGTTAACATAGCCTTCATGTCACTTTCTTAGTTATTGTGTTAAGACATTTATATTCTTCATTTAGAAAGATTCACGTGTACCCTTAAAAGATAAACCATAGATGTGGTCCTACCAATCACCCTCCTTCCGCCCATCCTCCCGCCTCCCTTCCCCCTCTCTCCCCTTCCCCCATATTCTTGGGCTATAATTGGGTTATAGCTTTCCTATGAAAGCTATAAATTAGTTTCATAATAAGGCTGAGTGCATTGGATACGTTTTCTTCCATTCTTGAGATACTTTGCTAAGAAGAATATTTTCCAGCTCCATCCATGTAAACATAGAGGAGGAAAAGTCTCCATCATTCTTTAGGGCTGCATAGTATTCCATGGTGTACATATACCACAGTTTATTGATCCATTTGTGGGCCAATGGGCACTTGGGCTTCTTCCATGACCTAGCAATTATGAATTGAGCTGCAATAAACATTCTGGTACAAATATCTTTGTTGTAGTGTGCTTTTTGGTCTTCTGGATATATACCTAGTAAAGGAATTATAGGATCAAATGGCAGATCTATTTTTAGTTCTCTAAGTGTTCTCCAGATGTCTTTCCAAAAGGAACGTATTAGTTTGCAATCCCACCGACAGTGTCCAAGTGTTCCCTTTTCTCCACAACCACACCAGCATCTGTGGTTTTGGGATTTTGTGATATGGGCTAATCTTACTGGTGTTAGATAATACCTCAAAGTAGTTTTGATTTGCATTTCTCTGATGATTAAGGATGATGAGCATTTTTTCATATATCTGTAGGCCATTTGCCTGTCTTCTTCAGAGGAGTTTCTCTTCAAGTCCCTTGCTCACCCTGAGATGGGATCACTTGTTCTCTTCTTGCTAATACGTTTGAGTTCTCTATAGATTCTGGTTATTAAACCTTTGTCAGAGACATAACCAGCAAATATCTTCTCCCATTCTGAGGGCTGTCTGCTTGCTTTGTTTATTGTGTTCTTGGCTGTGCAAAAGATTTTTAGTGTGATGAGGTCCCAGTAGTGTATTTTTGATGTTGCTTCAATTGCCCTGGAGGGTCCTCCTCATAAAATTTTTGCCCAGGCCAATTTCTTCAAGTGTTTTCCCTACACTTTCTTCTAGTATTTTTATAGTTTCATGTCTTAAGTTTAAATCTTTAATCCAGTGAGTGTCTATCTTAGTGGTGAAAGGTGTGGATCCAGTTTCAGTCTTTTACAGGTCGCCAGCCAGTTCGCCCAACACCATTTGTTAAATAGGGAATCTTTTCCCCACTCAATGTTTTTAATTGGCTTGTCAAAGATCATATAAAGGTAAGTAGCTGGGTTCATCTCTTGGTTCTCTATTCTGTTCCATACATCTACCTCTCTGTTTTTGTGCTAGTACCATGCTGTTTTGATCACTATTGATTTATAGTATAGTCTGATATCTGGTAGTGTGATCCCTCCTGCTTTGTTTTTATTTCTGCGTAATGTCTTGTCTATTTGAGGTTTTTTCTGATTCCATATAAAATGAAGTATTTTTTCGAGATCTTTAAAGTATGAGAGTGGAGCTTTAATAGGGATTGCATTAAAATTATATATTGCTTTGGGCAGTATGGACATTTTAACAATGTTGATTATTCCCAGCCATGAGCATAGTATGTTTTTCCATTTGTTAACATTTTCAGCTATTTCTTTTCTTAGAGTTTCATAGTTTGCTTTATAGAGATCTTTCATGTCTTTTGTTAGGTAAACTCCCAAATATTTCATCTTCTTTGGCACTACTGTGAATGGAATAGAGTTCTTGACTATTTTTTCAGCTTGACTATTGTTGGTATATACAAAGGCTTCAGATTTATGAGTGTTGATTTTGTAACCTGAGACACTGCTGTATTCCTTGATCACTTCTAAGTGTTTTGTAGTACAATCCCTGGTATTTTCCAGGTATACAATCATATCATCTGCAAAGAGTGAAAGTTTGATCTCTTCTGATCCTATATGGATGCCCTTGATCACCTTTTCTTCCCTAATTGTGATGGCTAAAACTTCCATTACAATGTTAATGAGCAGGGTAGCGCCTGTGGCTCAAAAGGGTAGTGCGCTGGCCCCATATGCCAGAGGTGGCGGGTTCAAACCCAGCCCAGCCCCGGCTAAAAGAAATAATAAATAAATAAAGTTTCAAAAAAAATGTTAATGAGCAATAGAGACAATGGACAACTTTGCCTGGTTACTGATCTGAGTGGAAATGATTTCAATTTAACTCCATTCAATACGACATTGGCTGTGGGTTTGCTATAGGTGGCCTCTATCAATTTGAGAAATGTCCCTTCTATACCAATTTTCTTAAGTGTTCTGATCATGAAGGGATGCTGGATAGTATCAAAAGGTTTTCCTGCATCAATTGAGAGAATCATATGGTTTTTGTTTTTTAATTTGTTTATGTGATGAATTATATTTATAGATTTACATTTGTTGAACCAGCCTTGAGATCCTGGGATAAAACCCACTTAGTCATGGTGTATAATTTGTTTGATGTGTTGCTGGATTCTGTTTGTTAGGATCTTGTTGAATATTTTTGCATCAATATTCATTAGTGATGTTGGTCTGTAATTTTTTTTTCTTGTTGGGTCTTTTCCTGGTTTGGGGATCAAGGTGATGTTTGCATCATAGAATGTGTTGGGTAATATTCCTTATTTTTCTATGTTTTGGAAAAGGTAAAGTAATATAGGTACTAGTTCCTCTTTAAAGGTTTGGTAGAATTCTGACGTTAAGCCATCTGGTCTCTGGCTTTTCTTTTTAGGGAGATTTTGTATAGTTGATGCTATTTCAGAACTTGATATAGGCCTATTCAACATTTCCACTTCATTCTGGCTATGTCTTGGAAGGTGACGTGCTTCCAAATATTGGTCGATTTCCTTCAGATTTTCATATCTCTGAGAATAAAGTTTCTTGTAATATTTGTTAAGGATTTCTTGAATTTCTGAGGGGTCTAATGTTATTTCATCTTTACCACTTCTGATTGATGAAATTAGAGATTTTACTTTTTGTCTTGGTTAAATTGGCCAAAGTTTATGTATTTTGACCTTTACAAAAACCCAACTTTTTGATTTATTGATCTGTTGTATAATCCTTTTGTTTTCAATTTCATTTAATTCTGCTCTAATTTTGGTTATTTCTTTTCTTCTGCTGGGTTTGGGGTTGGAGAGTTCTTCTTTATCCAGTTTCTTGAGATGTCCCCTTATGTTGTTAACTTCCTCTTTTTCCATTTTCTTGAGGCAGGCTTGCAGTGCTATAAATTTCCCTCTTAGGACTGCCTTTGTGGTATCCTAGAGTTTCTGGTAACTCGTGTCTTCAATATCGTTTTGTTCCAAAAATTTGGTAATTTCTTTCTTGATCTCATCTCTGACCCACCTATCATTCAGCATAAAGTTATTTAGCTTCCATGTTTTTGTATGAATCTGCAGATTCCTGTTGTTACTGAGTTCAACTTTTATTCCATGATGGTCTGAGAAGATGCATAATTCTATGAATAATTGTGAATTATTCATAAGTATGAATAATTTCTATACTTTTAAATTTACTGAGGTTAGACTTGTGACCTAAGATGTGGTTGATTTTGGAGTATGTTTCGTGAGCTGATGAGAAAAATATGTATTCCACTTTGTTAGGATGAAATGTTCTGTAGATGTCCATTCTTCCCCACCTTTGGACCTGTCTTCAGTTCAGGGAACTTGCCATGCTGCCACTCACTACACACACTCCTACCCATCTTTCAAAAGTCGGCTCAGCACAACTTTCCAGAATCTCCTCAGGCTGGTTTATAATCCTGTTATATGCATCTACAACTCTTACGGTCACTGTGTGTTCACTGGAATGCCTCATCATTGCTTTCATGGGACAAGGACCCTGTCTGGTCCCTTCTAGGCCCCAGCACCCAGGACGGTGCCTAAGGTGCATAGGAGCAGAATACTTGCCGGGAAGGACCACCTTATTGTCCACAGCATGTGATCTGCATGGTGATCACAAGGTGGCGCTCACGACACACCATTTGTAGCTCCTGGCTTAGGCTGTTCTTGCTCCACTACCCACGTTCTGCCAGACCTGGGACCAGGCTCTGAGAACTCCCTCCTCTCTCCACAGGTACCTGAAGATAAGAGCAGTGTCTATTTCCCTGATACCGTCAAGGCCTCAATACAGTCATCAACCCCAGTACCCTCAATACCCATGGGATCTTCAGTTCCCATAGCAGTGCCCCTGGTACCATAAGCTCCCAGGGCAAGTGAAACACAGGTAAGCGTGGGCTTCGCTTGTCCGTGGAGAAGACAGGCAGTGAGCCACCAGTGGGGACTCAGCTCTCAAATGGCACTAGCCAAAGTGCAAAAAATAAGCCTGAAGAGATGAGCTTCCCCACCTTCTGTCTGGGGCTCAGTGAGCCCCTGAATTGTCAGGAGAGGCTCTCGGAGTCAGACTGCTCACATACTGGATGGGCATAGGAACATGTGGAAGGCATGGGAGGAGACGTGGGAGCACACGTGGCTTTGTGATTGTGTTTGCCAGCTGTGTGACTTTAAGAACCTCTTCACCCCAGAGACTGAATCTCAGTTTTCTCATCTATAAAAGTAGAGCTGACAGGTCTGGCTCTATTCAGTTGATCACTGCCAGCAAGACCCTCTCTTACTCCCTCCTTCCATCAACGAACAGTTCTTTGCCTCTTCTATGGAATGGACCAAACCCTTGCTTGTGGCTGCAGCATCTACTCCTCTCAAGATCTCTACAAGGCAGCAGAGCACAGTGGTTCACACCTATAATCCTAGCACTTTGGGAGGCTGAGGCAGGAGGATCACTTGAGCTCAGGAGTTCCAGCCTGAGTGAGAGCAAGACCCCTGTCTCTACTAAAAATAGAAAAATTAGCTGGGCATTATGGCAGATGCCAATAGTCCCTTCTACTCAAGAGGATGAGTCAAGAGGATTTCTTGAGCCCAAGAGTTTGAGGTTGCTATGAACTGTGATGCCAAAACACTTTACCCAGATTGACAGAGTGAGACTGTATCTCAAAAACAAATAAAAAAAAATCTCTACAAGACAGAAATAACTACTTCCCTCTTTTTCAATTAGCAATAATCACACCTTGGATAAACCTCACTGGCTATGATACTGCCACTGTGCAAGCTACCTTCCCTCTTTTTAATAAATGAGGAACTTAAAGCTTGGAGAGGTTCAGGCCCTTCAAGACCACACAGCTAGCAAGTGGAGGAAGTTGGGTCTTTGCAGGTCATTGTCCTTGTTCTTATTATTGTTATTTGAACTTCTAGTGGGGCCAGAGCTTGGAAATAGCTGGGTCTGAGTGATACAGCAGAAGATGATGTTAGAATTGTAGGAGAGAGAGGCAAGGTTGTGACCAGTTGCTTCTAAAGGCAACAGCAGAAAGGCTACAGCAGGAAGGACCTGGCAGTGACCTGCTGCTCTTGGCTGTCTCCCTGCAGGCTCCACAGACTGGGGGGCTCCAGAAGATGCTTGTGCTGACTAAGAACAGAAGAGCAAGTGAGCAGTACCCCATCTGCTGGCTTGGCCTCAGGGTCCCTCCCAACCCCTTGCCCTTCATCCCAGGGCACCAGCCTGAAAAAGGAGCTGCAGACAAACTGGGCATCCTAACCAGGTTCTGGCAGTGGAAGGTCTGCCATGCCTGGGGTCTTGGTGGCCACATACTCAGAAAAGCAGGCCCAGAGTGGGCTGGGGCCTGGGATAGGTCTGGGACCTCGCAGGAGACAACTTAGCAGCCAGCCACCACCTATTAGGCTCTTGTACCCCATGCCAGCCCCTCAGCCAGCACCTCCCATGCTCCCTGGATCCCCAGACCTCTCTGTGCCATGTAGGTGGCAGCCTTCATAAATAAACATATTTGATATTCTTTATCGAAAGGGTGAGAATGCTCCAGTGGGGCCAGTTGGAGGGAGAAAAAGACCCAAGGGACTTGGCCTTGTGCCCCAACCTTGCCCTCATCTGAAGTGACACCCATACTGCAAGGAAAACCACCCCAGGCTGAAAAGCTAAGATTTAGGGTACTGGAGCCTGCTTCCAGCTTGGGGCTCAGCTCTGAGCCAGGGTCCTTTCTCAAAGTAACTCCTTACCTCACATTAGCTATTACAGAAACACCCCTTGAGAAATCTGGCATCCCTGCTGTGCCCTCCATGTGGTTCTCCTCAGGGCCCTCTGGTAGGGTAGGAGAGCAGGGAGGGAGGGCTCTTTGGGGCCCATCTCCCTTTCCCTCCTTCTACTGCCAAGCCAACCTATTTCCCTGTGGGATAAGGTTCTGGGAGTTTAGATCTCCCAGACCCACCACAACCCTGAGTAGAAGAACACACAGTTCCTGCTCTCAAGGGGCTCACAGTCTGGGGGGGAGGGACAGACCTGACAAACCCTAAACTATGTCAAGGGTAGCTTAGAGAGGAATTCTCTGTCCAGGCAGCTTCCCAAAGGGGGGGCCACCTGAGCAGGGTTCTGGAGAATGAATAGGAGTTTACCAAAAGGATGGCAATAGAACACCTCAGGCACAGACCCATGGGCAAGAGTCAACATGGAGGGGATTGATATGGCTAGAAGAGAGGTGAGGCAAAAGTGCGCTGGCTGGAAAATAATATATGAAATCCATATTTGTGGAGCAGAGGGTCCTGGGAAGAAAGGACGAAGTCAGAGGATGGGATGGTCTTTCCTGCCTCCAACTCCACCCTCCCCACCCTCCCTTGCAATTCACAAGCAACTCTCACACATACAAACACCAAGGGCTTCATTTCTCTTACCAGAGCAGGGGGGAAGGGAAGAAGGAGAGAGAGGAGGGATCTGAAATGCAACCTATTCATGTTCCTGCAATGTAACACCCCTCATTTTCCATGCTGGGTAAAGACAAAAACCCTTTACAACCTGTTTCTGGAACTTGTCAGCAGCTGCCAGGAGAAGCATGTTAATTAAACGTCGGCAAAGATGGAAGCCGGAGGCCCCAGTTCTAATTGGACAGTTTGCTTCACCGGATTGAAAAACATTGTGACAGAGGAGGAGGTGCACGATGGCTCGGCAGGGGTGTGGCATGGCGGGGAGCCGGTGGCTTTGATTTCAGCTGATCCATGCCCCAGCCTCCTCAGCAGAGCCACCCAGCCCAGCCTAGCAGCCTAAAGGGTCTGGGAGGGGCCTGGCGCCGCGGGAGGAGTGCAGGGTGGAGGAGGGACTCCTATACCCCAGGTCTCACTAGTAGTCCTGTCAACAGCTGTAAGCCCAACTGAGGACCAGGCTTTGAGGGGTCTGGGGCCAGGCACTCTGCCTGATCACATGATTTGGGTCCAGGGGCTGCACAGTCACTTTGACCCCAGCAATGTTGAGGCACTGGGAGCCACACCCAGCTCTTTCCTGTGAGAGATCTGGGTCCAGGTCTCTGTTTCCCAAACCAGCAAAGCGTTTGGTGATCAGGCAACTGTGAGGCTTGTCATGGAAACTTCAATTGTAAAGGTCCTAGGGGAACCCCATAAAGCCTGGAGGAAGTAGGCTCTACAGAGATATAACTACAGATGGTCCCTCCATGTGTGTCTGGTGGTGGTTCTCCAAGTCCCCTCTTGTTCCTGACAAGAGTGTGGACAGCAGCGGTGTCACCCCAGTTAGCGGTGACTGCTGAGTACTACGCCTTATGTGTCTTGCATTGTTTGATCTTCCAGCAACCCTGAGAGAGAAAGACTGTAGCTTTCCCACCTTACAGGTGGGGTGATGGAGTCCCAGAAAGGATAAGTTACCCAGTGGAGGTCATGAGTGTTGTTAAAGACGGTGCCAGGGTGAGACTTGAGCCCAGGTCACTGATTCTGCTGTCTGACTCTGGGTTCCATGTTTCCTGCTGTCTGGCTCCTGGTTCCAGCCTGGTGTCTAGATGAAATTCTTCAGAATGGGCTGAGGAAAAGTGGGATTCCTAAGTGGAGATTACCCTTTCTCAGGGCCTCCAAGATGGGGTGGCCAAAAGATAGGGGTGCAGCAGGCTAGACATTACTCTGAAGGGACCCCACACGTTCCCTAACACCATACAAATGCCCAGTTTTCATCTCCTGAGGCAGAGTCTCCTCTTCTGTCCCCTTCTGCCTTGGCCCACCTTTGCCTCTCACCTGACCCCTATCCCAAATTATTGCCCAGTGGAGGCTCCATGTGGGGTGAGAGGCCAGGCTGCTGCCCAGTGGGGGCTCCAGTGGGGTGAAGAGTAAGTATGGGTAAAGGAGCCGTTGTCACTCAGCCCCAGGGATTAAGAGCTACAAATTGGATGTGGAGGGCTGAGGCCGTTCACAACAGTGCCACAAGCTGGGTTCCCAAGGGGGAGCAGCCGAGCAGCTGAGCAGCCCAGCAGCCTGTGCCGAAGCTATGTCCAGGCTGCCCACTGGACCTAATCCCTTTGGAGCCACAGCCGAAGGAGCCCCAGAAACACCACTACTGTGGAGAGAGGGCACCCTTGATGGACACAGGCAGCCTAGGTGCTCACGGAGGCAACCCTGAGGAGAGATAGGAACTTGGGAGGTGTGCCCACAGGGGCGGTGTGCGCACACATGCCTGTGGCCTGGGTATTTTATCTGGGAAGGGAGACCCTAAAGATGGGCAACCCTGTGTTTTAGAGGCTGGTTCAGGCCTGTGTGTGTCTGAGGTTTGGGGCTCAGAAAATGGGGCCTGGAGGCAGCAATGTAGATGAGCCAGAGGTCCCTGCCTGAGGAATGAGGTGTGGTGAGCAGAATGGCATCGCCTCCCTTCCCTGCAGGCCCAGATGCGTGCTGAGAGAGAGAGAGAGAGAGAGAGAGAGAGAGTGTGTGTGTGTGTGTGTGTACTCGCCCATGATGGAGCAAGGGTGCTTGAGAACAGCCCTTCAGAGGCGGCTGGAGGGGCTCTGCAAATTGTAATCAGATTAAGGGGACCAATCACTTAGGGCTCTTGAAAAGGCCACAAGGTTTCTAATCAGCCCTGAGCACCGGGCCCACAAAGCCCGAGGAACTCAGCAGGAGCCACCCGCCAGGGGGCCAAGGGGTGGGGGTGCCTTTCTTTCCTCTCTGTCTCTTGTAATTATGTCAATTTGCTAGCCAAATTGTTTGCTGGAGTGGACAGGGGGGCTTGTGCCCCATTCATGTGGTAATGTGGGAACCACAGGCTTCCTGGCTGGGAAAATAGAAGGTACCAAGACCCTTCTTCAAGAAGCAAGCAGGCCCAGGGGTGTGGGGCGCCCAGGCCTCAGGAACTCTCCTCTCCCCAGCCTGGGG